GGTTATTTTATAATTTTTAATAGTTGAAAGATTAAAAAAGACGATATCATATAATCAACGATAATTTTATAAATTTTAATAATTAATATACTTAATAAAACAACCTTCTATAATTAGAAGATTATTTATATATTTTATTCATTAAAATATTATCTAATGAAAGAGACATAGTTTTACATTATAATAACAATACTATGTAAATATAGTATATTGCATAGTACAGCTATGGATGAATGGATCTTAATTTGGTGACGATTTAAAAATGAGAAGTGGTACATATAATTTGGACGGTCATTAAATGTGCACTGCGACCTGTTGTTGTACCCTAGGCCAAGGCCAACCATGAAATTCAACACCCAAAGTTAATTATTTCTTTGGTGGCGGCAATTTTCAAGACTATTATTATTCATGCCGCTGTTTAAATTGTTATTATATTAATACTTCGGAACTCCTAAGCTGATGGCGGATTCGGTAAAATTGTTTCAATGCCAAGGTCAGAAACGTCATTTCATAGGACTAGACTTACAGCCGTAGATCTCCTAGCTTTTCTCATGTCGAACCCTTCGCTTTTCATAGTATTCTCTTCTCAATCAAAAACTAAATTACTCGCCTCAGAATTTAAATAAATTGAAAATGTAATAATAAAAAGGAAAAATCATGTCCGCTTGTTTGGAGGATCCAACGGTAAGAGGGGAGTCCGTGTACAACGGACGCGTGATCGTGGTTTTAATCAGCATCCGCGGGAAACAGCTTATTCTACAAGTACGTGAGTTTTATTGGTTTTTTCTATTCTATTTTTTTTTGGGTTTTCAAAACATTTCAACGTTTGATCGTTATCTTATGTGTCTAGTGCACTCCATTAATACAACAAAACTTCATTGTTTTCTTTCTTTCTTGGTTTCTTCTCTGGAATCCAAGGTTTCAAGCTTTTCTGGTTTTGGTGAGTGCTTATAAATTCCATATTTTCTAATCTTGTTTTGATTGAATTTGACTTGGGAATGATCATACATTTCTGGGTTTTGATTGATTGTTACTGTTCATTACTGTTTTCTGAATTATGGGTGTTTTTTCCTTTTTGTTTTTGAAGTTGCTTAATGTTAAAGCTTAGGTTTTGATTGAATTTTTGTATGCTTTTCCCTGCTAAGAATTGGATTTTTGATTCCATGGTTTTGTTTTGGTGGAGAAATGCAAAACATGTCTAGGCATGGATAAGAGAGTAAATAGAGAATCAACATAAGTTTTAGCCATTAGATTCATTATTTTATTGGGAATGAAATTCTATGTGGAGGATATTACGATTGAATGAGAATCTAGGCCAAAGGGGTAAAAAAGAAAAGAAATCGGGTTTATCTAATTTGACTGTTGACAAGTAAGGGTTTTCTTCCCCTTTTCCTTTTATTGAACTTTAGGAGGTAATACAATTGATTCCTCAAATAAATTTAGATGCCTGTGGCGAGCTTATTCTGTGGTATGATGGAATTCCATTAAAACAAACTTTAGTCTTTAAAATCTAATATTGGTTTTGGCTTTTGATAAAGTTGATTCCAATTTAGGGTTTAGTCTGAAAAGCTAAAACTATCTTTTTATACTTCTTTTGTTGCCTTCTTTTTAGACTAGGTTATCTGGATTCTTAACTCATAAGGAATGATGCTCACTTTAGTAATGGTATATGCAGGAGCAAGTATCCTTGGATTGAAGTAAACTGATAACTCATCATTTGTTTATTAAAATCATTTTTAGTTTCTTTTTTATACTAATTTTAATTGGTTTTAACTATATTTTTTCAAGGATTTATTTTGACAAACTTTCAATTTTTAGTATTAATAATAGTAGTTAAGTGAAGAACATGGTGTCATGTAGGTAATTGATTTTCAAGTAGTTTGACAATTCTTGAACAAGGCATAAATCAACTTGATCAATTGCTCAACTTCAGTGAAGATTAAGTTTTTTATAAAAACAAATATTATTTAAAAGATCAATGTTTCTCTAGGCTGGTAAACTAACCTGCCATAATAAGAATATATTTCTGGAGTATCTTAATTTGATGCTTGAAGCAGATCCCTTGATTTTCCAGGGTAATTGCAGTTTATATGAGTTGTTTCTTCATTCATGGAACCTGGATTCTGGATATTGAATTACTTTTCATGCGTGAACAAAAATCTAATTGAGAGTTGTTTGTACAGGCGGCGATCAGGTTTCTTTAAGTGGAATATTACTTGAAGTTGATGACTATGTATCAGCAAGATTCAGATTTTGTGCATTGGGTTCTCGGGGGTGACCCTTTTTACCATTGTGCATATAGTAGTGACATGGTGCAGCATGATGCTGGAGACATCTATCATCATCACACTCACTATTATAGAGGTCATACTGATACACAAAGCAGCCAGATAGAGAATGACGAGGTCATCGCTCGTACCCTTCAGGAAGAATTCTCACATCTTGCAGTGGCAGAAGCATCAGAATTTTCTCATGCTGGGGAAGAGCAATCACAATCATCCAGTGAACACCATGATTGGCATACTCCATCAACAACATACTATTATTCAGGTAGCTCGAAGGTTTTCCTGCCTATTTATTTCTTTTAAGGTATTTATCTGCTTATTGTTGTTTAGTAGTTAATTTGACACAACTTGCAGGCTATGAATATGGCCAGGATGAATCTGACGATTTGGTGCCACATAGTTCCTGCTCTAGCCCCAATGATTCAGAGGATTTTTCTGGCTCTTTGGAGCTAACAGAGGGTTATTTACTCGATGATGAGGAAGTAGGCAAGAGGTTTAATCAAATGATTCCTATTCCTGTAAGTTTACCTTAGAAGTTCCATTTTTCTCTAATATTTACTTTTATGTCATACATGTGATGTTCTGTTTTGGAGTTAAAATTTTTAATAGATGTTAATCTGTATTGATGCATATGACTCTGCATCTCTCCCATTTTCTTCAGATGTATTTAAATCTGTTTGTTTCAGCATGTCCCTAGAATCAATGGTGAAATACCATCAATTGATGAAGCAATGTCTGATCATGAAAGGTTGTTGAGCAGGTATTATTTGTATTGTTTTCCTTTTCTCATTTCTTAAAAGTTAAAATTTATTTTGAGGCTTTGAGCAACATGAATAAGAAATACATCTAGGTTTTTTCCCTCATGAAAGGTGTTGTTGATTGGCTTGTTAATTCGGTTTTATCAGCTACATAAGGTTAATGCTTAATATATTTCTTTTTCTATCCAGATTGCAGCTATACGGTTTTGCTGAGCTCAAGGTTCAAGGAGATGGCAATTGTCAGGTGTGCTCTCTTTTGTTTCTGGTTTGAATTCCGCGTTTCGGCTGTAATATTTATGGTCAATTTTTTTGCTTTTTCAGTTCCGTGCACTCTCGCATCAATTATATCATACACCTGATAATCACAAATATGTGAGACGGCAAATTGTGAATCAGGTTTGTTGTCCCGCAATAAATTGCTGGCTTACACAACATTAAGTTTGTTTATTAAGCTATAATGAATATATCGGTGCTGCTGTAGCTAACTAATAGTAGCTTGTTTTGCCAGCTTAAATCTAACCCAGAGGCATATGAAGGATATGTCCCCATGGATTATGCTGACTATTTGAAGAAGATGTCAAAGTATTTAATTTTTCTTTTCTTGCTACTTATATTTCGAGCTTTTGGGCAAAGCATATCTATGTTAACACTCTTTATGAATGATTTCAGGAGCGGCGAGTGGGGTGATCACGTTACATTGCAGGCAGCTGCAGATGCGGTATGCATTATAAAGTTAGCAAACACGTTCTTTGGAAGAACCATAAATTTATTTGCGATTGTTGATTTTTGTTTTGTTTATTGGTTCATTTCTTGCAAATGGATATTTCTCCTCATTCTTAGCCTACGCGATTTAATATCTTTTTAGTTGCCTGAATGTAATTCCAAGAACATTTTCGTTCAGTTTCTAAATAAGTGAAGAAATAGAGTAAATATCATGATACCATGTGTTTTTCCCAAGTGGAGAGCCCTTTTTTCTTTTGATTCACTTATGATCAAGGATCCATGCATTTTTCAATGTCTAAACTAGCAAACACTTTACATTTTTTTGGCAGTATGGTTTGAAAATTATTGTCATGACTTCCTTTAAGGACACATGTTACATTGAGATTCTTCCGAACTTCTGGAAGTCGAAAGGCGGTAAGATTTCCACCCTGTGCTTCTCCTGCAAGCATACCTCTTTATTTTCCTGTTGTTATTTTCTTCCAAATGTATTGTTTTCTTAGTTTCCAAACTGCATTTGTTTTGCAAAACCAAAAAGATAGTTATAGAAATAATAACATGAATGAATAAACTCTGTATGTGGTAAGACTAACGAGTTCTGATGTTACTGATGCAGTCATTTTCTTGAGTTTTTGGGCCGAAGTTCACTACAACTCAATCTATTGCCAAGGAGGTGATCATTTGACCCTTTCCTCTTTGTTTAGTGTCTAGCCCTACCTATAATCATTGAGCGACCCTGATCCTTCGTGGTAAAAGGGAGAACAACACTCCTTAGATGTTTGTCTGTCAAGATGTGTGCGTTATTAGTAGCTAAGAAATATTCTTAACAAATATTATTATCTTATAATCACCCCTATATTATTAAAAAAAATCTCTAACCCTACTTGAAATAAAAAAGAGGTTCGCTTGTTCCTGGTTCAAGAATCATTCCTTAAACATTGCTGTGTTCATGGTTGCAGATCATCCCTCAGCCGAGGTTCCAAGGAAGAAAAAATGGTGGACTTTTGGGAACTAACACAACAAAGATAAGCCAAGCTTCCATGCCATAGCATCTACTACTACTACTACTACTTAACAGTTGTATTGTAAAGAGAAACAAAACATTGTTCAATTTGGTCATGCATGAAATAAAGTGAAAGATAAAAACAGCTGTTATCAATAGCTTGTCTTTATTGATTCATTTTTGGTCTGCACAACGATGGTTGAACTCATTCTTTGAAAAATGCTCATGGATTTTATCGATGGTGGGTTCATTTTTCTCCTTTTTCAGCATTTTATTTACAACCAAAAGGATACCATTCAAAATACTACCCGATAATACATTATATATGTAGCTAATGGCTTTACTTTGGGATCTCTACTCTTGATTCCTAATATCTTCTTCCTCCTCCTGATGCTCTTTCTCCACCTCCGCCAACGGCGGCTGCAACAGTAATGCAGTAAATGGCATGTGTTGATACCCATTTCTTCCAGCAGTTGAATACTGGAACCCAAGAGGTTGGCACATGTCCAACCGGTAACTCGGCGCCTGTGGTGCCGTCAAGGCATACATTCCCGCAACGCCGCCGCCGCTACCAACCCCACTCGGGTGAAGTTGACAAGATTCCGAAGGCGAAGAAGCGGTAATGGGTCCGGAAGCACAAGAGATTTCATGGGCTGCAGGAGCGGTGCCGGACCCGGTGGCAGCTATGATAGAAGGCTCAGCTTGACGGAGCAACCACTCGATGGTCTCACCATCGGAGCGATGGCCGAGTTCTAGAGTCAGTTGAAAGATCCGAGCTGCACAAAGCGCCGGCATCCGAACACGACGGCTACGGCCATTCACTTTGGTGTGACGATCTTTAGAACTCAAAGAACCGGTTTTGCGATTAGGGAGAGCGAATTGGGTCTTGGGAGTCGACTCGTCGGCGACTACCGTGTCACCATTAGAGTTGCTCCGTTTAGAGGTGGCGGAGTATTTTTGAAACGCCATTTCAGAAGTCATCGGAGAGCTCACAGTAGGTTTAGAGGCGACCCCACAGAGAGAAAGGAGAGAGTGTTGTTAAGCGTGAGATGGGATTTTGATTTAAAAGAGGGGTGGGATTTATCTTGACGTGTCGAGCTAGGATTTCTTTGAGTTCCGTGAAGTGGCACGACCGAGTCGGGTCGGTCTTTGTTCGGGTTTGGATAGTGGGACCTACTCACCAGATATTGCTTGGGTGGATCCCACTTTTGGTTCCATGGATTGATAGTATCTTGCCAAAATTTTTGCATCGGTTACAACTCTACAATTACAAAGGTTTTTTTTAAGGAAAAATGGGGTTTTTATTAGGAATTTAATTCTTTTTATTCTTGCCCGTAAAATTCGAGATGTTTTAGTATTTTAATTTTTTTATATGATAATTTATGTCCTTTATTTATTATATTTTATCTTTTCTTTTAATTTTGTAAAAAAAGGGAAAATATGTATAATGGGAAAATGATTTATATTTGTTAACGATAATATTTAGGTTGTGGATTTTTTGAGATTTTGAGAAATTTCGGGGATATGATAGTCAAGAGGTATAGTTTAATGAGATTTGTGGAGGAGGTATAATAATTGTTTCTTTTCATAGAGACAATGTCATAAGGTGGTAAAATCTAAGGTAGAATACACTCTCTAATGGAGTTTGACACTGAGGTGTCTCTATAGAGTGGTTAAGACTTTGGTCTAGAGGGTACATTGGATGATTCAATTTTTTTCTTCAAAGATTTTACTAATATTTCATTTGAAATTTGACGAAATTATCTCAACGGAAGATCATTGACGTTTTCTATGAATGATAAAACAAAACGACAACATTTCGATACTATAAAGCAACAACGAAGAGGAGAATACCCTCCAGATCCTACTGTTGATCCTTTTGATCTTCCTACACAGATGGATTACGACGGCCCCCGTACAATTGTCTTATACAAAGATATCGTCACTGGTTCTAGCGAGTCCACTCACGCTTCCAAGAGTCATGAGCTCGATGATGACGATACTTAACTGCTTGATGAAGATATCACTGTCATCCTTTCGGATGGTATTCCGACCATTTATTTCTCAAAACGAGTACAAAATCTCACCATCAAAAGTATAGATTTAACGCTTGTTGTGAAAGTCCTTGGTCGTTGTATTGGTTACAACACCCTCCACAATCGAATCTATTGTATTTGGAAACCATCGCATCCTCTTAAACTCATTGACATTGAGAATGATTTCTTTCTCGAGAAATTTAATGACCAGAGAGATTACCTTAAAGTGTTGAAGAAAGGTCCTTGGACCATCTTTGGTCATTACTCATTACTTAACTGTTGAACAGTGGTCGGTTGATTTCCAGTCTTCTCAAGCTTTTCCTAGTCGTCTCATGATGTGAATTCGCTTACCAGGTCTGCCAGTTACGTTCTACAGGAGGAGTTTCATTGAAGCTATTGGTAACCAGATTGGTTCAGTGGTCAAGATAGACTTTCAAACTGATAACGACTGTCGAGATCGCTTTGCCCGCTTGGAGGTTAGCCTCAATCTCTGTCGTCCTTTAATCTCTAAGCTTCTTATTAACGGTCGGCTCCAAATAATTGAATATGAATCTTTACCATCTTTTTGTTTTCATTGTGGTACTTATGGTCATACCAAGGATTTTTGTCCACAGGTTCATTCTCGGGAAAAAACGTAATCAACGTCTGATAATATCTCTCCTCCACACGCTTCGGCAACCGCCAGCCTAGCATCGGATGAAGCTTTTGGGCCATGGATGCTTGCCGAAAGAAAGAAGCGAGTTTCACAGTCAACCAAGCAAGCAAAATCTGCCTTGAAGTATTCTACTCAAATTACATCGTAATTGAATCCTATTTTCGAGGAGGAGATCTCTGATCAGGATCAAGTCCCAGATTCTAAGGAGATTACCAAAGATCCAGGCCTTAAGTCTCTGCTCCTCTATGTGACCCTACAATCTATCGGGTTAATGAAGACATGAATCCTGTTCGTAGAAATCAAGCCTTAGAAAAGGCTAAATCCAAAGGTAAAGCTGTGGTCCCCATTAAAGTCTATTTTTGTTAGTTTAAAGAATCCTACCATGATTGGAGCCAAACTTGCCAAGCCTTAGCTTTCTGTTTCTAAAAATCCCATGCAAGGTGCACGTCCCTCCACTTTTCATGTAGAGACCTCATATGCAAAACTTGCTCGTACTAAATCGGGTGAGAACTTAGATCCTAACCAGCACCATGCTGTTAACTTCATGATGGTGATAATCCTAATATTCTTGTGGTCGTTGCTATGGGTACTCAAGTTCGAAACGACCTTGAGGCCATGGTTAAATAACTGTTTTGGTTTTTCTTTCTTTCCTCACTGTTTATCTATGAATCTCAAGATATTCATGTGGAACGCTCAAGGTTGTGGTCACCAAAATTTTGTTCGTGTTGCTTGCCAGTACATTCGTGATCATTCTCCGGATGTGATTGGCGAAACTCGTATTAGCAATGCCAATGCTGAAAAAGTTATTGCTTCTCTTAATATTCCTAATTTCTTTAGAGTCGAAGCTGATGGTTTCTCTAAAGGCATCTGGATTTGTTGGTTTGATCATGTTCATGTGGAGGTTCTCTTTAGCCACTTTCAGCTGGTTCATTGTTGTATTCTAAGCAATGTCTCCAATTGGTCTACCCTTGCTACTTTCATATATGTAAGTCCTACTCGGGCCAAGCGAAATGCTCTTAGGTCTTATCTTCGGTTCCTCTCAAATCATATCACAGTTCCTTGGATAGTTCTGAGTGACTTCAATGTCGCCTCGTCTCCTGATGATCGTAGGGGCTGTATTGGTTCTCCATCTGCTAGAAATTTTATTAGTGTGATTTATAACTCGAGCCTCCATGATCTTACCTATCAAAGTCCGGACTTCACTTGGTATAGTGGTAACTGTGTTGTTCGCCTTGACCGTTGTTTATGTAATAATCACTGGGTTGAAGCTCATCTCAACACGATGGTTCAACACCTTTAGAGAATGAAATCCGATCATCACCCCCTCTTATCTATTGGTCAATATCCTTGTAGATACCTTTTTGTCCGAGTCTTTTTTATTTTATTATTATTATTTACTTATATATATATATATATATATATATATTACATTTTTCAAGCCTAATCTGGAGCCCAAGACCATTACCAGACTAACCCACTCAAGCCCGGTTCAGCCCAATTACAAGACCCAGAACCCATATCCGACCCAACCCTGCTACAATCTAGAGACCTGATCCGACCCGACTTATTGAAACTCTAAACATATTAGGGTTTCTGATGGCGCCACACAACTTCAACCCATGGATCTGGACCCATCCAACGGTCCAAATCACTCAGGAAATTTAGGATTTTAACCCTAGTACATTTGATGCCGCTGATGTGATTATTGTTGCTGTCACCGACTGTCTCTGATGCCGTCGTTTCATCTAGGGTGACAGAAGATCCGTTTCAACAGTGAATAAATGACAATAAACAAATAAAAAAAGCCAAAGATATCCCGAGGATATCTACCATATCAATAAACCATAATAGGGCACTCATACCCCTATTTTCGGAACTCAAATAATCAAATCAGATATAGAGAGAGAGGGGTTTTAAAAGAAAAGAGACAGAGGGATTAAGTGAAACGTAGTCAAACACAGAAAAAAGGGAGAAATTAGAAAGAAAAAAGCCTAGAAAAGAAAAACCAAAGAGCAAACACAAAGAAAACCAAAAAAAGAAAAGAGGAACGAACCTTAAAGATCCGACCATAGAGCTTTCATCGGAGCTAACCTATCCCTCATCGAAGGTAAAGCCTTTCTCTTTTCTAGGTCTAGTTAGGATTTCTCTGGGTTTAGGTTATCGAAGAGGTTAGCTTTAGGGGTGAAAGGAAGCTAGAGGGAAGAGAGAACCTTTTCTGGGTATGGGTTACTCCCCGTAGCCATCGATATACAGTGGCCGGGGAGTTGGGGCTTTTATTCGATGCTGAAGAAGAAGATAGAGAGGCGGAGGATGAAGAGAGAGAGTGGTGGAGAAGAAGAGAGAGCTTTGTGGGTTTTCGGTTTTGAAGATGGAGAGAGAATGTGAGCATATGGGGATCTTACCGAGCTAAGGTTGTTCGGTCGGCCTTATATACAAGGTCCTAAACGACACAGTTTTAAGAAGGATATGGGAGGATATTTCAGTGTATGGGTAAATTAAATATTGGGGCTTCCTTGTTTTGTAGATTTATATTATGATCACTTATTGTATTTTGTTTGTTTTGTATTTCATGCCCCGAATTTGTAAAGTTTGTATCTTGGTCACTTTGCAATGTATTATTAATATTTTGTAAATTTCAACATTGTACTCTGTTTTTATAAAGTTTATATTTTGATCACTGACTCTGTACTTCGGTTTAAATCTTGAATATGGTATGTATGTTTTCATTTCCTTATTTTTTAGTCCTTTATTTATTATATGAAAGGGTAATTTGCTTATTTGGTCCATAATATCTTCCTGATGTATTTTTAGTCACTGTTTATTTAGGTTATTGATGTTTAGACCTTGTGATTTATGCATGTCTCAATTTGGTCACTGTTTAATATTGTTATATTTATGATTAATTTTTGTTTAGTCTTCCATATTTCTGGTTATTTTATTTTAGTCCTTAATATGTTTAGGGGTTATTTCATTTCTTGTACTTGTATTATTTAGTATTTTCGATTTTGGGAATCTGGTTTATTTGATTTATGTTTTAGTCCCTTAAGTTTTTTTGCTATTTTAGTCCTTTGAATGACTATTTTACTATTTTAGTCCCTTAAGTTTCTATTTTGTGAATTTAGTCTCTTAAATGTCTATTTTTTCTATTTTAGTCCTTTAAATTTCTATGTATGCTATTTTAATCCCTTATGTTTTAGTTTTGCTATTTTAGTCCCTTCAATTTCTATTTTTGCTATTTTAGTCCCTTAAGTTTCTTTTTTTGCTATTTTGGTCCTTTTAAATAGAATATGATTATTTATTGTTTTCATTATTTGTAATTTGATATGTAATATTTTTTT